AATTGCTCACCTCCCTATTGTCCAAGGAAAATACATGAATATTGCTCCGCTAAATGACCATAGCACCCTTTAATTTATGCCAAGGCGACTTCCGGAACTTCAGCTTGGGGCGAACCTCGGGATGAACATTTGGCATCCACCTACACCAGAAAACACTCAAGATTAATGAGCAAGAGAATGAAAACCGTACTAATCCTATACTCCCTCGGTCTCTTATTATAAGATTCAATTTTTTAAATGGATCTATTCTTTTTTATAAGATTCTATTTGAGTTTATCTGAACATTTAATATATTATTATCTATTTTATTCTTAATTTAATGCATTTAATATATTCTCTTTATCTTACTATTACTCTTTCATATTTATCCATTTATATATAGGGATATATTTTTAAAAAAAAACTGTATTGGTTACATATTAATTACTTTTAACTAAGTTTAATTGTTTTCTTAAACCATATAATTTAGTTAAAAGGATCTTATAATAAGGAACGGAGGGAGTATACACAAAAACAATAATGTCATGTTTAGTTTCTGTATATCGAGCTCAGAATCAAAGTGCTTCCTTCTATATCTTGGGATGCATATATATGCTCGGTCCTTCATGCTCTCCTTTTCATTTCTCTTCTGAAATTCCAGATTCTTTGAGCCCATGCAAGGCCTTGCATTTCTGTCCGTGTTACTTTGCACCGCCTTCCATGTTGCCTTCTCCTACATCAACGCGCACCATAAACTATATATCTCTCATTTTGTTTTTTCTTCATGTATATGTTGTTCAAGTTATTTATTCGCCTCACGTTCATTTCTTTAGCTTCCTAGCTACCAGCTCCATCGGACTTGATTTAATGAGTCACTACAATGGTGATTGAGACGAATACGTATAATTTGATTGAACTAGCTAAATCGATTTCACGAGCGCAGGATCGGTGGCAAATGGAAACTTTGAGCTTGGCCCACGAGCATCAGATTTGAAAGGCACGGCGGTGGTCGGCGGCCGACATGCTGCTGGTGATGCTGGGTAATGCGGTCAGCATCAAGCAAAGATTAAATTTGGTGAAAGGAATGTACTGTTTCTTCAGTCCACAAAAAAAAAAAGAGGAAAAAAAAAGGAGAGAAAGGAATGTACTGTTCCTTCACATTTGTGGTAGCACGCACATGCGCACAAGACGAACGATTAAACGTGTCAGTATCTCCAGATTCAAGAGTTCTTCCAATGCAAACATTATATAGCAGCAGTCGTTGGGACGCCTATGCTTGGGCTTTCCAAGCTGAGTATCCTGAGGTGGATTTGGTCATCCATAAGAGTAGAAGACCACCCTGCGTGCGGACCAATCATCGATTCCATTGCTCTCACAGCTCTCAACCCTCCAAAATTAGCTAACAGTGAGTAGTCCCCACACTTAAACTCAGCTTGGGTCTCACTCTGCTTTTCGTTTAACTTCCTACTTAATTAACTGTGTCGAATTCACGTTCTGCAGGATATATCATAAAGAATGGTGATTTTGAAGAAGGGCCATATGTGTTCCCCAACACCACACGGGACGTGCTTATTCCACCAAACATTGAAGACGACCATCCTCCACTTCCGGCATGGATGGTGGAGTCCTTGATGGCAGTGAAATATATAGACTCAGACCATTTCTCAGTTCCAAGAGGAAGAAGAGCAGTGGAACTCGTGGCAGGTAAAGAAGGTGCTATTGCACAAGTGATGAGGACGGTCACTGGGAAGACGTACGTACGTGTGCTGTCTTTTGCGGTAGGCGATCGATGCCGGCGATTCTTGTGAAGGGTCTTTGTGCGTCGAAGCATTTGCCGGCGAATACTGTATCAAAGTTGCTTACAAATCCAAAGGCAAAGGTGGGTATAAGCGTGGGGTTCTTCGGTTTGTGGCTAGTAGCACCAGAACACGAATCGTGTTCTTGAGCACATTCTACAGCATGAGAAGCGATGACTTGTCTTTGTGTGGACCGGTGCTTGATGATGTCGAATTGCTCAGTCTGCGTAAGTAAACCATAAGCAGCTATATTTATGATTTAGTTTTGATCAAGTCTCGTGTATATGTGCTAGGAAAGTATCAAAATGACATGTTATGTGTTTCCCTTGATTCCTAAGAATGTAATGTAACGGGTTCTGGTGTATGTCACTTAGATCTCTCAACACTTTCTAACAGGATTAACGCACGTACAGGTGTAAGGTAATTGTTATGTATGCCCCTGCGTTTGTGTTCATATGATGAAACTAAACCAGGCTTGCCTTCATGTCTCGGATGCAAACGTTAAAGACGAATTTTCATCTATTACCCCGTTTTACAAGTTTCAATAACACCAGGTCATTTACAATTGACATCTTTGTTCCCTGCAGTGATGTAGAGTACGCCTCTGTTAAAATAATACTACCGTGACACCCGTGGTATGTGAGTTCAACAGGCAAAGGAGTTAGACAGCCTCACTAAGGGAGTGGGTTTCATTATGAAGCATGTAGCGACATCAGGAGAGGTATTTTCGAAGCTAAGGTTTCAGTTTGTAACATGTGATGATACCGCACGTGGAGTTCTTTTTGTCCCAGTAAAGTCAGAGTACTAGGTAGACGAGGGGTTATGGGTTAGTTGCCCTACTTTTAAATCATGGGTAATCCTAATTTCTTTTTTTTTTTTTAAAAAAAACAATAACATGACAATTTTCAATAACTTCTTCCATTTTATTTGAATTAAATTAAAGTCTTTCGTAGAAAAACAAAATGAATTGTTTTATCATAACTCTACTTAGCTACCAGTCAAAGCAGGCACATTGATTTTTTTCAAATTTTGATGAGTGTCTTGAAAATTTTCTCTCCGTGATTAATTATTAATCTGCGCTTAACTAACTTTAATTTTATTAATTAATTATTTCAATGGCTCTAGGGGCATGCATATCCGCGCTCGGCTAAATATGTTTCTCGGCATCAATATCGACCGATATTACCAATCAATCAGATGAGCTTTAGGAATCAATTCGGAAAAAAATGATCATATAACATTATAGTCACGTTCGATTTCAAATGATAATAAGCCAAATCAAAAGTAACATTAATCACTCAAAAGTGATTAATATCTATTTGGATCTAATTCACTCATATTTAGTTGAGATATACTCCTCTGCTCCTTATACAGGACTTAATTATTGAGTTGATATTGTTCATTAATACATTACTTAATTCTCATATTTATCAGTTTTTTTTCTAAATTACTTATATTAATGCTCTCTCAACTATAATCAGGTGGGAAGGAGATAAAGAATATTAAGAAAAATAATTATAATATTTTATGAAAAATATGTCATATTTTTTATAATTAATTAAATTATTTGACTTTCTCAATATAATAAAATCAGTTAAATAGATTTTTTATTAAGGGAGGATGGTACAATAGCTGGTTCTTGTAATTAAGTGGGTATTATAGAACGAGCCATGTGCTATGTGAAGACTCGCAAACAGCATTACAAGGTCTCGGCCGTCAAATTAAACAACACGGCATTGCGATTAGTTAATATCTTCAGCCCTAATGCTAATTAATTCTAACTAATGGTTCAGCTCTCGCAAATTCTCGGCCGAAAATATACGAAAATGGATATAATAAAATAAAAAAAGAAATTGAATTTCATTCGAGCTAGGTTTTTTTTGTTGGCCAAATTCAAGCTACATACTGATCAAATTTATAGAGATTATTTTAAATTGTGACATTAAACTCAATGAGAAAATTATTTTGGATATAGGAGCAAAAACTACCCGGAGTGCGTAGAGGGGAATTAAGGGAGCAGATATTATTATTATTATTTTCGCTGAATGGTCAAAAGAAAGTAAATAAATTAGGGAAAATCCCAAAAAAGGTCATTGGAATATGGGAAATGTCAGATTGGGTCCTTAAATTTCGAAAATGACAGAATGGGTCATTGACCCAATCTGTCATTTCTAAAATTCAGGCGAATTGACAATTTTGCCCTCATTTATTCATTCACTACAATGATTCAAGGAATCACTATAAGAGTTTAGGTGTTACCTAGATTCGTGTAGCGAATAACTACTCACTTTTTCATAGTCAGGTGTCTTGTTATTAACTACAACTAATTCTGTAATCACTAGAACAATATAAGCATTACCTAGATTTGTGTAGAGAATAACTACTCATTTTTTCATAATCAGGTATCTTATTATTGTCAGGTACCTTATTATTAACTACAACGAATCTTGTAATCACTAGAACAGTGTAAGCGTTACCTAGATTTGTTTAGAGAATAACTACTCACTTTTGCTCAGGGGCAAAAATGTCAATTCACTTAAATTTCACAAATGACAGATTGGGTCAATGACCCATTCTGTCATTTTTGAAATTTAAAGACCCAATTTGGGATTTGGTATATTCCAGGGGCTTTTTCTGGGATTTTCCCAATAAATTATGTGTGTTTTTTGCTAAAAAACAAATTAAATAATTTTTTTTACTAAAGTATATGTATTTTCTTATTAGAAGCAATCCTACTTGAGACACTGTTGGACACTAAATATAAATATATCTCCTAGTAAGAATTTAAATTTTAGTTCATTATATTGTAAGAAAATAGTTCTTTTTATTAGACCTGTTGGTTTTTTTTGCTACCAAACGAATTAAATAAATTGTTTAAGCATGGTTGTATCAAAAGCCATAAAAGTCACAAACTAGCCCAATCATAAGTGTTTTGGTCTCGTTTTTACTTGTCAAGTGTTTTGGGTTAAAAATGGTTAATGAATGCATCCATTGCTCAATCGTGCTATGGGCTTGCTGCTTGGGTGAGCCCACTTCTTTTATCTTCCTGTTCACCCTTTTTGTTTTTGTTTTTTTAAATCAAGGCCCCTTTCATTCTTTCAAATTTGAATTCACAACTCAAAATTCGAAAAAACGGGCGTCCATTAAAAAAAAAAAAAAAACAACAACAAACGCGCGATATAATCAGACGGTGGAGGTGGCTGCGTCAGCTTAACGCAGAACTAGGGCTCTCCGAGGCTCGGAACCCTTCCATATAAACCCTTGCAGAGCCCTAGAATCTCAATTTCTTGTCACCTCTTGATTCTCTCCATCCGTCATCCTTTGCCTCCTCCTTCGCTCCGCTACAATGGTATGCAGTTCTTTCACTTTCTTTCTGTCAAGATCGTTTTGCCTTTTTCGATTCTTATTTTGCATTTTGATTACAACCCGATGCGGAATGCTTCCGGCATCTGGTTCTTTTTCCCTCCACTCTGCAGGCCTTGCCGAATCAGCAAACAGTTGATTACCCGAGCTTTAAGCTCGTGATTGTTGGGGATGGTGGAACAGGTACTTTTCGTTTCCGTATTGTTTGCTTCACTTCGTGATCTGTTTGGTTTTTGCTAATTTTGGGGATTAGATAGGCAGCCAATGTTTGAATTAAATATAGTAGAACTGGGAATCACCAGACGAGTATTTGGCATTCGATGTCGACGTTGAGTATTGGTACGATTTTTTGAGTCGCTAAATGTCTCCTGTATTAAATTTCATATCTTCCCGAAATCCTGTGCTTTCTTAACTGTTTTTGGTATGTACGATGTAGATTGGGGCTCGATTCATGTCGTTTTCACATTTTTTCCGCTGTTCGTGTTATATTGAGTGAGCTATTTCGAACCATTGCAGGGAAGACAACTTTCGTGAAAAGGCATCTTACTGGAGAGTTTGAGAAGAAATATGAACGTAAGATTTATGATAGCATCTGGCTGAATCTTTCACATTATGCTAATATGAATTGATTTGGGTAAATGTCTGCGAACAGCAACAATCGGTGTGGAGGTCCACCCGCTGGATTTTTTTACCAACTGTGGGAAGATTCGATTCTACTGCTGGGATACTGCCGGTCAGGAGAAATTTGGTGGCCTTCGCGATGGATATTAGTGAGTTTTCATTTCAGCAGAGCACTCTTGACTGTGGTGTAGAAATCATGTTTGCGTATTAATGCTTTTACGCATTTAGTTACTGGTGTCTGCAAAAATTTTATTATTTGCATTTCATCTAAAGGTTTTGGGTTTCATGGTTGAAATGCTAAATGCCATGGCAGGTTATTTTGGTTATAATTTTTGAAGCAAAATTTATCCTTACAAGTTGTTCTCATGTGTTGATGAGAATTTATCTGCCTGCGTAGTGGGGTCATTGTCCCTAGGTCATTTTTGTGGTAATTGCTCTTAAGCTAAAGTTACCTGTTGGTCCGAGAGGGATAGGCATTTTGCTTCTGCCGAATTCTTGGAGTTGGAGAAACCCAATCATATTGACTGTAACGATGTTTCATTGACAAATGATGCAACTGCTTTGGAAATTTCTTGCCATGTTTTTTATTTCACAGGAAATACCTTGCCTTCGTGGTTGTGTTCACTGTTTATCTATTGTGTTTCTTTTCATAATTGGCTTTTGATTTTCTGCACTGCAGTATTCATGGACAATGTGCGATCATAATGTTTGATGTCACTGCCCGGCTGACATACAAAAATGTCCCAACCTGGCATCGAGACCTTTGCCGGTTAGTGAACTAGTTTTTCTTTCTCGTTAGTTAGCACTGCTCTGTTTGCAGTTTCTTACGTGCATTCTTTGGATATTTGATTTCTAGGGTGTGTGAGAACATTCCCATTGTTCTTTGCGGCAACAAGGTTGACGTGAAGAACAGACAAGTTAAGGCAAAGCAGGTTACTTTCCATAGGAAGAAGAATTTGCAGTATTATGAGATATCTGCTAAGAGCAACTACAACTTTGAGAAACCTTTTCTGTATCTCGCCAGGAAACTTGCCGGGTGAATAATTTTGCTCCTTTCTGATTTCCATGGCAATTGATCATGATGCATTTTGGCTTACGTAATTCACGTGTCAATTTTGCAGTGATCCCAACTTGCACTTCGTAGAGTCTCCTGCCTTGGCTCCACCAGAAGTTCAAATTGATTTGGCTGCACAAGCACAGTAAGTTTTGTATCATCATTTAGAATTGAATTCCTTTATCGGCAGATGTATATATTCATGGTTCTATCATGCTCAGTGCTGATAGACTTGAGCAAATGGTACTGAGCTAGGCAAAGCAGTTCCGCTTGTTTTAAATAAGCAAGAAGTTTCCTGAAGAACATTGAAACTGGAGGTGCCATAGTTCCTAGTATTTTCTCGTGCTGGATTAATAAGTAGTCCGCACGCACCGTCGTTGTCACAATGTAGCTCTGGAGTTCGAATTGTTACTTGATTCGAATAAACAATCGTTAATTTCTTGACTTTATTATTTTATTTTTTTTGCAGGCATGAGCGGGAACTTGCACAAGCTGCTGCCCAGCCCCTCCCCGATGACGACGATGACGCATTTGAGTAAACTTGTATGTTTTGATTGCTCGAGAGGTGGATGACGGCGTATTGTCAGGCGTGCGTCTGTGGGCCATTGTCTGAGCTGGCTGGTATTTGTGGATGCCAAATTATATGTTTTGGGGTGTATGATTAAAATATGGGATTTTGAGGATGTGAGATTTCATCTTTTGATGTTTTTTCCGCTTCAATTGAGTTATTAGCTTTTATGCAGTATTGCTGTTTGGATTGCCCGTCATCTCTCGACGGGGATGTAGTTTTCTCGTTCTGGCTCTTCAATTTGATTTCGTACTCCGACGAATTGGATCTTGACCTCGGTAGTTAATTGCTTTTTCCCTCTAATTGAGATTTGCCTTTTGGAATCATGTAGCTTGGAGCTAACTGTTATCGGACGAAGCTATGGGATTGCACATCCAATATAAAGATGCTTTCATATGAACTAAACACGAACGTCAAATGCGTGGTTCTGTAATTAAGTTGGATTAAGGTGGTGTTTGGGAAGTATTAGAAGTGTTTTTGAAAAGTATTTTTCTACAAATTAAAATAAATTTTTTTATATATTTATTTCGTATACAGTAAAAATATTTTTAAAAGTATAGTTTTGATACTATCCAAGTGTTTTTTAAATCATAAAAATAAAATGAATTGATGGGATGTAATCAGATGAAATCATGAAACTTGGAATGTTTGAAAGATTTTTGGGGGGAATTGGAATGAAAATTTGAAACAGGAATTGTAAGCGTCCGACGGGGTAAAATGTTTGTAGGGTCCCAGTTTCACAAGACAGATACGCCCTAACGAACCCGTATGAATAATAACGCAATGGCATATCGGATGAGGGTTAAAAGGGAAGACGTCGAGGGGGTAATGCTATGGCTTAGGTCGGTCATATTGATTGTTATGATGAGCACAGCTGGGAAGGCATTTACGGGAAATTGCAGAGTTTGTACCAGCATAAGGCGAGGATGCGAGCTTGAAGCATCCTATTTTAGGAGGTGTTTGAATATTGGTTTGGGGAAAGAATGAGCCAAATAGTCAAAAATAATCTGAAACTATGGTTTAGACCAAAATCATGATTTTGGAACCTAAAACCATAGTTTAAAAAAAAATGAATCCATTCTGTTTCTGGTTCAAATCGGAGAGTATGATTGTACCTGTCAAAGTAGGTCTCAACAATAATATGACTTTAACACCCCTCAATTATTCTTTTATAAACATATTTAATCTTATATCTTCTAAATATATATATACATGTTAATTATTTATTAATTACATTATCTTATGTATTATTAATTATGTTGGTAAAAAATATATTATTAACAATTTTATTCCTTCAAATTAAAATATATTATAAAATCTATATTTTATGTAATTATCATATTAACTTATATTTTTTTTAGTAATTTGCGTATATAAAAAGTATTTCTGATAACAACTATCTAAACACTTTCATTTTATCAGAATCACTTTTTTACAAAATCTATTCTTCACAAAATCCATTCTCCAGAAGTTATTCTCCAAATTATGGTTTGATTTCATTTAAATATTCTCTTAGGGTGTGTTTGGTTGGAGGGGAGGGGAGGGGAGCCCCTCCCCTCATTTGGTTAAAAATTTTGGAGGGGAGGGGAGCTAAAATGTCCCCTCCCCTCCCCTCCCCTCCCCTCTCCCCCATTTTGGCTCCCCTCCAAATTGGGAGTTTTTGGAGGGGAGTCAAAATTTTGGACCATTATGCTCTTGTAGTTTTTTTAATATTCCACTTCTACCCATAAAATATATTATTATAATATTTATTTCAAATAAAAAATATATTATCCTAAGTAAAAAAATAAAAAATATATACATTATTATAATTTAAAATATATTATAAAAATTATTTAAATAAAAAATTATAATATTATAAAATTAATTTTTTTATAAATATATTATTTATTAAATATATTTTAAAGCTGGAAAAAAAGATAGCCTAAAGAAAATAAAATTTCATTTTTCTTAGAGCTTATAAAATTTGTAAATTTGATTATTTTAAATATATTATTATATTAATTAGAATAAAAAATTACTGTACCAATTTTTTAATACACATATTAACATGATAAGACTGAATTTTTATTAAATTATATGATTTAAATTAAGATGTAAATTAATTTATATAATATATCAATAAAAAACATAAACTAATATGTAAGGGTAAAATGGTAAATTGATTATTACTATCCCTCCCCTCCCCTCCTTGAACCAAACAAGGGATCATTAAATACCCTCCCTTCCTCTTCTTTTTAATCAAACCAAACAAGGTGAGGATGAAACCTCCCTCCCCTTCCCTCAAACCAAAAAGGCCCTTAGAAGTCTATGCCACCCATGATCCATGCGCCACAAGGGCAGGGGGAAAATGCAAGTTACTGGTCCATGTTCCCATCCATCCATTGCGTAATTAGATAACATTTTTATTATCAAATGCACTCTTAGTATTTGAGCGAATTCTTCTCAAAATTAAAATGTACAAAAAATATACATATTTGAAAAATGCAACATCATCTCCATAAACACAGCTCAATCAAAAAGAAGAAAATTTTTCATTATTATTTTTCCGAGCATCAACAAGTGAGAATTAGAGTATCGGAACAAACTTCTGGTAGTATTATTTTGATGATAGAAGAATTTTTTTTATTGATTATATAGAATTTTGTAGTGATTAAACATGCACTTGATAAATTTTTTTGATGAGGTTTGGGAGGTGGGTTGCGATTTAGATAGGGATTTACTTTTTTTTTTAACCAAAGATTTAGACAGCGATTAAATGTTCAATACTTTTTATGTAATATTACATCAAATTCTTAATATAAAGCATAATTAAAGATTTAATTTGATACTGAATATAAAATATGAATTCACTCTGACTTGTGTGTGTGTATTTAAAGTAGTCTAGTTGCACTTGTTAAAATTTTTTTATTCTAGAGTCTTTGATCAGCCTCCAGTTTATGATTTACAGGGAGATGGGGTTTGATGAAAGTTTCTTTTGTTTTTGCTGCTTCCCTCCTTAGCTTATAGGGTTGTTTGTCAGTGTTTGTTTTAGTGAGTTTTTGTAGGTTTCTCAGCTCCTAGGTAAAATTTTCTTTTATTCTAATATATATAATTAATAAAAGAATTTTAGGGATAACTAGAAGTAGTCAAAACATTCAAGAGAAGGTTGTCAACTTTTTTAGAAAATTGTAAAAAATTTTGAAATTTAAATTCAAAGTCGTCCATTAGCCCAAAAAAAACAACATCAAAATCAATTCAAAACTAAACTTATAATATATGAAATAAATACGCGAAAGAATTTGTGGATTTGTTTTGGGTTAGCCAGACACCTCTTAGAAAACTTGACCCTATCATGGCTTACTTCATACGTCGCCCCACAAGAAGGTTAGAGAAAATTAGATGCGACGGCCATAAAACAAGAAGATAGACTTGCCCCAGTGCGGCTGGCTTCGGGGACATGGTTGTCTTTCTCCATCATATGCCCAGGGACAATCCGGTAACTTAAAGCTCCAGTGGAAGCAGCTAGACTCCTTTATATGCAAACCTAGGTTTCCGGCACCCTTGTTCGTGCTTCTCATCTGCTCAATGCGATTCGTGGCTCTGCGTTTCTCAGGTGAACAGTCGGGCTCAATCGGCTCTCTCTTAGTCCGTTGGTTCTCGGAAAAGTCTAGCAATTCTCACTAACCCATAGTTCACACTGATTTATCTGTTCATCCATCCAGGCGCACTTCAGTTTTTAACGTTATATACGTGATATGAGGTTTTAGGTAATATTGGTCGCACCTATCAAAGAGTGTATTCCTTAGTGCTTCATATCAATCTCGGCGGATTAATCATGCAACATGTTGCGTACTTTGGGTTTTTCTCGAAATGTGTAGATAGGGTTTAAGTTTTCCAGCTCAATCTGATGGGAATATATTTCGTGTTAATTTCGTCCAAGTTGATTTATGGCAAGCGCCTTCATTGGCAGTGGGCTTGGTGTGGAATATGATTATTCACTGGTGATCTGATCGTCGGATTTTTTAACCCATCAAAGTTTTAAGTGAACTTTAGTGCTATTCTTTTTGGATATCACCGTTTTCAATGGCTGGCAACGCTTGAGAAGGGCTGGGTCTGGGAGCTGGATGTAGTGCGGGAGACTGAAGCCACTGTGCTGAATAATTAGCACTGCAGATACATAAATTTTTTGTCGAAGCCCTACTTCATCGTGGCTTTGCGTTATCGAACTGTTAGTGTGCCGCAGATTTGCTTTTGACAGGAGAAGAAAATTGAGTGCTAGAGCATAATTTTTGGTCACTTCAACTGCTTTTGAGCATATATACCCATAATTTCCTCTTACCATTGCTCAGCAGGAACAACTTATGAAGACACATTTTATTGGGAAATTTTTGTCTGTTGAACTTAGAAGTGCTGCTTCTTTAACATGATATGTGCCAGTATCAATTTTTGCTTCTGATGCAATATTACTTAACAGCAATAGTTAATTAATGTTTCTTTACTGACGTTTTTTAATTTAGGGGCTATGTTGGATTGAGTTCTGATTTGTAAAAGAAAGACAATGGCAAAGAAGAAGAATACCCTGGTTTTTATGGATGTCTCCATTGATGGGGACCCAGTTGAAAGGATGGTTTTTGAGGTACAGTTTTTCTTTTTAATATGTTTGATTTATAGTAATATTCATGATACATGATACAATATTTTCATTCAAAATTTTTTTACAACTTCTTTGACTGAGAGTGAGAGATATAGAGGGAGAAGAAATGCAACCTAATGAATTCTTTTGCCCTCACAGCTATTCTATGACATTGCTCCCAAGACAGCAGAAAATTTCCGCGCACTATGTACAGGTGATAGTTTGACCTGCCTTCCCCCACTTGTAAAACTCTTCCATTCTACAATTACAGTCTGACTAATTGAACATACCCTCAGTCAAGCTCATTTAGTTTGATTTTATTATAGAGGCTTGTCCTTTTCTTATTTAATACCTTATTTGTTCAGGAGAAAAGGGAGTCAGTCCAAGTACTGGGAAGCCACTGCACTACAAGGGCTCCTTCTTTCATCGCGTGTTGAAAGGCTCCATTGTGGAGGTATGCTATTTTTCTCCTACCCCTGTGACATCTAAGGCTGTTCTTCAGTTTTGTAGATCTACCCGTCATGTTGTGGTTGAACATGGCTTAGTAGTGAATGCCCCTCCTTTAGTCAATTACCCTTGTTTATGCTGTAGGATACAGGGCTGATGGTCACGACTGCTTTTCTTGTGATATAGTTTTAAGGTTGTACTTACTAAGTTGTTCATCTTATAATGCTAATAAGCTTTGCCATGTCCAAACCTGTTTAGTGTGCA